AATGCAGTACATGAGAAGTCAGGCTAAGCGCTCCGCTTCAGGTCACTACACACTGGAAAGGTGCACAAAACTCTTACTGTAAACAATACAGTTTCTATTTATTTTTACCTTTTTTTAAACTCTTCCTTTCTCCCTAACAACTTATTGGAAATAGGCATCTTACGAACTTCTGCTTGAGCTCTGTTAAAAACCCCTTCCTCCACCATGAAACTAAACCTCAGCTAGTATCGCAAAAAACTATCTATGCAGAGCTAACTATCAGATGCCCTTTTTATCTGGTAGCTGGAATGATAAAAGCTAAGGTTAGCATCCTAAAAAACACTGGCACGACAGCAAAGCCTACTGAGTTTTGGTTGGTAGGGACCCGTAGAGCCTATTTGTTTTTCTAACGGTGAGATGGACTGCTGTTTTAAATGAGTGAACATCTCCTCTCTTGATAGGAGTGGGGTTTTTTATACAGGAGAAATTACAAAGCTGGAAAAGAGGCAAGCTTTCTGGAGCTGTGGATTCTACATCTGTTGACCAATACTGAGAGATCTACACTCACGCCCCAGGTAAATACAGATGTAAAAGAAAGGAATGCACCTGAAACGATGGAGCAAATGGTCACTGCAGGCTACATGTTTCAGTGTAAACCCTGTCTCTCCTTCGCCTGTCCCGCTCTCTAGTATGCAGTTACAGCACCAACTTGAAATTTCTTACACAGTGAATGCATGACTGTGCCTGCACAAGACCCTTCAGGAACCAAAACCATAACCACTTTGGGTAACACCTGCGACAGACTGGTCTCCCAAGCAGCAAGGACACCTACAGCTCTGTGCAAGAAACACACAGTCTGGTAGTTAAAGGTCCAGAGTATGAACCTGAGGATTGCCTCCAAACCACTACTGCAGGCTTCATACGTGACACAAGAGCACAGCGAGTTAACTGTGCCTCAGTTTCCCCTCCCCTCATGCAAAAGGATGTGGTTCTTGACTATCGCTTGCAAAATTTATTTTAGGAACCGGACTCAAAAGTATCTGGGCATAGAATCTCAGTAAATCTATGAGATTTAAGTGGGAATAGCCAAGTACACTGGAGCAGAACACAATTACGTCTGAGGGGCCTGAACTTCTACGATCACTCCCACCTGCAGAATCGCAGCTCTGTATGTACAGCTGCTAATACCCTGAAGAACCAGCCCATTCCCTTATCTAATATATGATTTATCACACAACACATGGGAGTGAAATTTTATTTCTAGTGTTTCTTTTCCAAAGAAATTTTAAAGTGTACACTAATTATTACTTTGAAAAGCATGTATTTCAATGAGCCAACGCAATACAGGGCAGATCCAGTGCCATGAGAACCTAAAAAGAATTTCTGGTGAGTAGACAAAGGCCGGAACAAGACTTCCACGCACCCAGGATACATCGATCTGCTTCCTCTCAGCTGCTTTCACTGATCTCTCATTTTACTGCTGGCCATTCTCTGTCCTCCCTGATCACCATTCTCCCCAGCTTCCTCCTGCTTCCAGCCTACCCAGCACAACACAATTCCACCCCCCCACGCACCTCCCTGTCCTGACCCTCCAAACTCGGCGCTCTCCTGTGACCCTGCTCCCTTTCTCCCCACCTTTTTCCTCCTACAGATTTAGTAGAAAAAAAAGTTGCTTTTGAAGGGAGAACCTACACAACTTCTTCCTAATGTCCATTCTGCTGAGCCTTCTTGTACAGGATTCTGTTACTCAGGTTCCTCAACCACCTCGCCACAACCCTGAAGGTACCAGGGTACAGAGACGAGGCTTCCCTGTGCACTGCTCGTACAACGCAACCCTTTTGTTCACCCCTTGCATCACTTGCTCAGGCTGAGGGTTCCCCAGAGCATGGGCAATGGGTGGCACAGGCACGGGGCAGCTCTGTGGGTGCGCAAATGTAAATATGCTGCATGTGACAGTAGGAAACACCCTGAAATTTCATGAGGATATTAAAACTGCTGAGAATTTTTACTACACCCCATTAAATATGCTGTCACAAACGTTTGCTCTAATACAAAAGTGAGCCCCTCTCCCCCAATTAGGATCATAACTTCCCACCCCACATGCTGGTTTCATTTAGCAGATTTGATGTGTGATTTCTAGAATTTTTTAAGAGCTTAAAAGACAGGAAAGAGGTTTTCCCCACAAATGACTCACGAAGCTAATCCCCAAATCCGTATCCCATAACGTTACTAAATTACCTTAAAACTAATCCTTTCACTGAAGTTCAATTTAATGAAAGTCTGACACAATTTATTGTATAAGGCAGTACTGTAATAAATGTAATTACATGAATGTCCCTCCTGAAACCTATTTATCTCTGTTTGCTATTTATAAAGATAACTTGCTCTTGTTAAAATAATCTGGTGACAAAGTTACGTAATATGCACTTGGAGATAACAAGTTCAATACCAATGTTTAACAACACAAACGTGTACATTAGCATGACCATTTAAATGAGGAAGGCAGACATTTGCTGTTACTGAAAACTGGGAGATAATTTTGCGCATCAAAAATGGTATTACAAAATAGCAGTTCTTCCACCAATATTTCTATAAAAGTAACACACAGAATCTACAACCAATTATAAATATGTTAACTACATTTCTTAATACCACAGGACAGCGATTGCTACGTTGTAGACGGGTTAGAAACCAAGAGGCCGAGAAAGCCAACAAAGCAGAGTGCAGTTGCAGAGTCTCTGCTGAAGCAAACTTTCCACTGACTGTACAACCATAACACAACTGCTTGCATGAAGCGCAGTGGCCAGCTGCTTCTACAAACACAGCAAATGATTAAGTGCTTACTTTAACAGCACCATTATTCTAGAGAAGAACCCTCCACTAAAGCCAACAATAGGCAGTTACATTAGCTGAAGCATTATTTCAGAGCAGAATCTTACCGAAGCTGCCTTCCCGCATCCCACAATAGTGCTGCCGCGTTAGGGTGCGGATAAAGGCTCTTTGTAAGCGATAGATAAAACGGAACGTGTAGCACTAATAACACTGTAATTATCAGCTGAAGTGCAGCATCAGAAATGGCAGTTCTTTGCATTCTCCAAACAGGAGTTTGGCCTGAAACCACAGAAAGTATCAATGACATCAAAATATACAACTTTGCAGGTCAAAACTCATGGTTCTGGCCCTGGCTTTTGACAACCATAAAAAAATGTGGAAAACCATCAGATTTCCAGAGATTTAAAAATTGCATTAGACACGCTAATCTGTCTGCCTTCCAGAAGGGCTACGCACTATGACAGCTTCCTAAGCTGCTGTCATTATCGAACTGTTGATAGAGTGACCCGCGAGGCACTATATCGAACAGCACAGACTCACACACTTCACAGAACCACCCTGAACGCATCCCTTACCTGAAGACCTAATCTGACTGCCTCTTCCCGCACACACCTTTGGCAAACTTCCTAACAGAAGACAACCATCAGACAAACAGTACACATGACAAAAGCACCACGCAAATTGCATGTTCCTTATTCTATATTTAAAAATTAATACACAACGTTAAGAAAAATCTTCTCAATTTCTTCTTGAAGAAGTTCCGATCACATCACTTGCATTTTCCCCTTTTTGACCTGGCTCGTAAAGCTGCGAGCCACAAACCTTTATTATTACACTAAAAGTACTCTGAATACCTTGTCATTTCCTAAAGTCACCAGAATGCCTATCCAGCAACAATCACCAGTCTGGAATTAATAAATCCAAGGTCATGAAACAGTAGGAAACTTTGTAAGTAGGCAGCTGAAAAGGGAAAATTCCCTTACTTTCCATGTATCCAAGCACCACTGGATGAATCCTCACACAACAATTTTTTCCCTAGTAGCAGCTGAGTTTTATCCGTTTTCACGACAGAAGGGCTGTCTGTCCTTCGTACACTCTGGTTGTTCAAAGCAGGAGCCTCAACATCCTCTTTTGACTGTCTCTAACACCAGATGGCCACTGGATTCCACTTTTAACTATAAGGAAGGAAACTAAAGGGACATTCTGCTTTTGTAGCATCTCTGGAAGAGTTCACCAGACATATATCCTTTAAAAAACAATAAAAAAACCGCCTCTAGACAAACACATTTGGCTTAT